AGAGACAAGCAGTCTCAGACAGTGACACCTGGCAAACAAAGCCCCCTAGGCTCTCAGACACTGCTGTTGTCTTCCTTTCCAGCACTCTTTGCTGGAAAAAAGAGAGCATGTGTCCAGATGAAGCAGAGCATGCCACCAGAGGGACTCAGTGCCCAGCACACTTAGCCACTCTCCGGTGGTGCCATCCTCTATCTCAGACTGGGAGCCAGCATTTTTGTTACCTGTGCATTTATTTATACAGAATCCTCAGGGTCTTGGTCTGCATTCATACTGCCAAGATAATGAAGCTCTCTTCCTGCCCCTGAGTGGCTTACAGAGCAACACTAAGTACCAGGTGATCTGAGGGCAACCTAGAGTAGCCGTTAGTAAGCCTCAGAAGCAAAATGAGGGTTTAGGGTCAGCTGGAACCCTTAGAGCATTGAGAACTGAGCATGCTTAGATAAGCAGATGCTGGACTGGTAACAGTTAGAACCCAACCAGTATGAGCAAGATGCCCCAAAAGCAAATTAAGAGTGCCACTTTGTTCTAGAACAAGGATCCAGCAGACAGACACTGAAAGCACCAAAGCTGAGTGATCAGGGCAGGGTTAGGTCACTGGCCTCCTCTCCCTTCAGGCATGGGCTGTAATGAGTGTACACACCCTACCTGCCAGCACTCACTGAGCATGCTGGGCATTGGCCAGTGCGTGGAGTGTGAGAACGGAGTCCTGGTTCTGGACCCCACCTCGGGTCCCAAGTGGAAGGTGGCCTGCAATACATGCAATGTGGTGGCACACTGCTTTGAAAATGCCCACCGAGTACGGGTATCTGCTGACAACTGCAACACCTGCGAGGCTGCCTTGCTCGATGTCGACTTCAACAAAGCCAAGTCTCCCCTTCCTGGCAACGAGACACAGCACACAGGCTGCATCTTCTGTGACCCCGTCTTCCAAGAGCTGGTGGAGCTAAAGCATGCAGCCTCCTGCCACCCTATGCACCGAGGTGGTCCTGGTAGGAGGCAGGGTCGTGGGCGTGCCCGGGGCCGGAGGCCTCCAGGAAAGCCCAACCCCAGGCGGCCAAAAGACAAGATGTCAGCCCTGGCTGCTTACTTTGTATGACAACCCATCTTCCCCATTCCAGCTCCAGTTTGGTGTAGACACATCATGGTGGTTGTTTTGAGCCACTGAAACCATTAAAATACTTTTATTTTGTACTCTCTTGAGCAGAAAGCCTGGGGCCTTTTCCTGGTGAAGATTGGAAAAGCCGGGGGGGGGGGGGGGGGGGTCTGTATCTGTGGGAACCTGTGAGGATTCCCCTTTACCCTTCCATCCTGTTCATGTTTAAATTGCACCATGCTCTGCCTGCACCATGGCATTGCCAGCAATAAAGACACCACATCTGAGACCATGGGAACAGTCTATAGCTCATACCAAGTGTATAAATGTACAGTGGTGTAGCAGGGTACAACACTAGCTATAGGCAGTCTAAGGTTAGCAGAAAGATGGATGTCAGCAGCCCCAAGGAGTCGTGACAAAGCAGGTGGTGCAGGCAGAGCAAGGGGAAGTACTCAGCCTGGCTCTCAACCCCTTGCTCACTGCCATAAGCCTAGCTTCCTGATCCCTAACCCATGGCTTTATGGCTGCCACTCAAACTCCAAGAGCCTGTGTGTGACTGGTAACATGGGTCTGTTTTGACTACTGTTCTCATCAGGAGTCTATTCTGCCTCAGACAAGCAGCTGGCACCCCACTGAAGCTGGTCAAATGCCAAGTCTAGAAAATACTCTGTAAGCCAGACCACGCTGGTAGCTGCGTGGAACTGTAAACCACCTTTCTGGCTGCAACCCCTTCCTCTGTTCCCTTCTCCACCCACCCGGTACAGGTTCCTGTTTTAGTTGTGATAGAAACTGACTGTCCTCTGAGGGCCATGCCTTGCCATGTGGTTGCAGGGGCTTAACAACACAGATGCCCAAGGCAGCTCTGTAGAATGCTTGATTGAGAGGCAGCCAACAGCATTCATCATAGGAACCCTCCCTCTGCCATTAAGTCACAGTCACACAGGGCAGGTAGACTCATGAGGAAGCCATAAGACAACTAGTTGATCATGTAGCAGGCTCTCCACATGGCCCCACCAGGACTTCCCTCCTCCCCCAGCCCTGATGACCATAAAAGATCATCCAACACAGGAAGAGGTGATACCTTGGGAAAGTCACCCAGAGGTAATGAACCAGGAAGCTACATAGAAGTTGTAGAATTTGTCCCAGGAGTATATGCTATAGGACAAAAAAGACACTCAGAACCTATCCCTTCCAGTCAGAATCTGGGACCTTAATAAGGCTACATGTCTTGTTAAATTGGATACCTAGCACAAGGCTGTGGCTTTGCTGTTTGGCCCAATTCCATCTTGAATAAACTACAGGAAGGCAGGTCAGTTGTGTAGGAAGTTTGAACTTGGGCCTTAAACCCATACTGTCCATTCCATCTTTAAAATTCTACACTGAGGTTTCAACCACATGGGCCTCTTAATGTGTCCCTTTGTTTTGTGTGGAACTTCACTCTAGTCCCTTGGCCACCTCACCTTTCATCATAAGTAGCGTCCAGCCTCACTATCCTTGCTAACCTGTCAACTGGCAACAATTAGGGCAAATGGTGAGGCATGCTCTAAGTCTAAAAACTGTCTTTGGAGCTGTGTTCCTGGTATCACCTCTTCTGCTCTGGAAGCTGACAAGGTCAGAGCTGCAGGGCAGCCTGTGTTGGGTGAGGGAGGCAAAATCTCAGTCTAGCCCTTGTCTTTGCTTGTGAGTCCTGGTGTCAGGGCCAGTGGTTTGTCCCCCAGACATTGCAGATCCCATTTCTGTTTGTTACCTTGTTATTGCAGTGCACATTGACACGAGGAAGTCTGTTTCATCAAGTGCAGCACCCTCCCAGCCCTGTAGAAGGTACCATGGACCTACAGCTATACACCATTCCTATCCCTATGAGAACAGTCAGTACCCAAGAGGCAGCCAGCTAAAGCCCACGAGTGATGTCTGGTCTCTGAGAAGGGTCATACAGGCTGATGTGATGAGGTTTGCATCCACCTGCAGACTGCTCAGAACAGGCTTCTGGAAAAGACCTTAGGAGGGCTGGGAGAGAGGACATGGATGGGAGATCTGGGACCTCCTGGCTCTACACTGCAGCTTGGATATTCCTGTAACACGAATAAACAAAAGGACCCAGAGATTGAGATTTTGGGGTTCAAACTTCAAGCTGAAGGTCAGAAAAGCAAAGCAGCTGGTCACTAGCTCTCACTTTTACCTCAGGCTGGAAGGGTTGATCTGTGCAGGAGCTCTTGCCAAACCTAAAACTGCTGCCTCTCTTCAATGTGGCTGGAGAATGAATGCCTCTCTGTCTTATATACTTCCCTAATGTTGGGATTAAAAATGTGAGCTATAATTCTCTTTTAAATTGATTCCCCCTTGTGTAGACCTGGGTGGTCTTGGACTCACAGACATCCGTCTGTCTCTTAATCCTGAATCCTAGGATTAAAGGTGTGTACCACCACCTCCTAGCTTCTGGCTGCTGAGATTAAAGGTGTGTCTCTGGCTTCTATGGCTTGTGGCTGACTTTGCTTTCTGAATCTTCAGTCAAGCTTTAATAAATCATAAATAATACATCACTACATGTTCCTTGCTGGAGAAGCGCAAGTTTGAGTTAAGCAGGTTGGTATAGCTAACACTGAGACTCCTTTGACAAGAATAATAGCTAAAAGCTTTGGTATAATGGTGTGCAGACAAGACATTGTGTTGACAGCAGCTTCAGGACAAAAGAAATGTTGCAGATATGTCACTGGCCCAGAGCCTAACAAGGGCAAGTGCCTACCTTTGCCATCATCTCTGAGCCATCATCCTCCACTTGAATTGCTGTTACCTTGCCAGGCTATGAGTGGCCTCAAACCTTGCTCAGATTGATTGAGCCAGGACCTGCTTCTTGCATAGCAGACAGACACTCTCCCCCCCATGTCCACCCCACTGGTACCCACACCCCCAAGGTGATTTCCTTTCAGAGCAGCCATCTATTGGTTCCCTGAAACTTTCCAATCAGTGAGGGTTCCCCGAGGCAGTGTGTTCTAATGGTGTGTACTTGTCAGTACAGTTCTGAGGGGTAAACAAAACCAAACAAAATTGTTACAGAACCATAAGCCTCCCACAACAGATTAATTTGCAGAATTTCTTTTGTGATGTCACCTAAAGCCAACCTTGTTTTTTGTTTTGTTTTTGAGACAAGGTTTCTCTGTGTGACAGCTCTGGCTGTCTGTAACACAGCTATGTAGACCAGGCTGGTCTTGAACTCACAAGAGATCCACCTGCCTCTGCCTCCCAAGAGCTGGGATTAAAGGCATGTGCCACCACCACCTAACTTAGCCAAACTTGTCTTTAAGGCTGACTTTACTACCCAATGTAGTAAGGGGGCTTTCATTTCTTGTTTGATAGCCCCCCCCCCCCCCCCCCTTTTTCCCCCCTCCCGGAAAAAAAAACCCCCCC